TAAATTCGGGCGCGTCGAGCGCGAAAACGATGTGTAATTATAATTATTGCTCAAAAAAAAACAAGGGGGGGGGGGCGTTAACTAACGAAGAGCGGAGAATCGTAATGTGAGACGGCGGATCGAGCCGCGCCCGATCACGAATCCTTGGCGTATTATCACGTAATTGTTGTAAATAAAGGACGTTCCTCGAGTTTCTTAAGGCACCGCTATAGGTTGTAGGGATTATAATTGCATTCGGTAGCGGTTCTGTTAGGCAAGGTAATAATGATGACGACGACGATTATTATTATTATCGCTCCTATTATTAATATCCTTGTAACGAATGGAACGATTGTCTAATTTTACAAGATGATTTTTTCATTGAATATATTTTGACAATATACACGCTGCCTCTGTTGACTTTTTCTTTCGACGACCCCACTCGTATCATCCCCTATCCTCGAAAACCATTACTCTCTTAATTTCCAAAAAGTCTTTTTCAGAACTTAATTTAAATAAAATTAATTTCGATAAATTGGAAGTAAATAAACTACTGATGAATAATTAACTAATTGCCGGCAATTCTCTGATTTTACTACGAAACGAGGAACAAGATGGCCGACTCTGCCCTGGGGAGGAATATATCACGATGGAAAATTATTCGTGCACGAGCATGTGTCGAGGAACAGAATAATGTGTCGCGAGAAGGGGAAAAAAAAGGAGGATTGGAAATGTTTCTTTTATCGAAGCACTCACAAAAGTGGTTTCCTCGACGCTAAATGCACGTGACGAGTGGAGGACGTGGTTCGCAGCGATTTAACGACCCTGTTATATACGCATCTACGAGTGCGCCGCGCATCCCGAAGGGCGTGCATTAAAATTAAAATTATACGTCGCGCGTCGAACCGAATCACGCAACGCTGGATCCACGCGGCAAATTATGTTTTAACGGACGAACCACGGGGGGAAAAAGGAATTCCTCGTTAGTCCTCGGCATCGGCGGACAGGGCGTCATCATTTTTACGAGTGACTTGCGGACGAAATTGCCAACTTAATTGCACCGACGGCAATCGACATGGAAATTCGAACACCTATTTTTATCTGAGGCAAACGTCGTTACTCTATTAACTGCATTTCGATGAATCGTAGTCTCAAAATTGAATCCTTTTTACATATGTTTAACGAACGATAATTCTTAATACCTCAGGAATAATTGTTGTTTATTGAACACGAGCGAGGGTGTTGATATAATATAAAGTATATGAATAAAATAAATTGAAAATGAGAAGAGATTTTGTATTTAGGCTTAAATGCAGCAATACATTTTTATCCTATATTGTTCTACTCTTCCTTCCTTTTATTTTAAACAATATTATTTTGTTTTGTTTTCTTCCTTTTTTTTTATGTCCTGTATTCGGTCGAGAAATATTTATTATTTGTTGTGTAACGAAGACCTTATCATTATTATTTATGATTTAAAACATTAATTAGTATATCCTTGACAGAAGGAACTTCTAGTGTTTATATTTTCAAATTTGTCGGTTCAATGTTCAGAAACATCTTTTTAATCCACTCAATATGATAATTTGGAGATGAATTCTCAGGTAACGTAATAGAAGAATACACGAGGTCGATCTTTTGACGCCAAGAGAGTGTTAATTATTTTTGGTAGGAAAGCATAACACGCAAGAAAATAACGGAAGTGCATTATGCTAACTGAAGATTGATGCAGATTTCTGAATAGATAAAACCCACCGCCTAGAGAGATGAGCGCTGGCAGTGAGGGACTCATTACGTGTGTATTACAAATTAAATTTGATAAAGGCGCCGATGATTTTCAGTACACCGACTGGAGTCTATGAACTCGAACGTGGGATTTTGGAGATCTAAGCATTGAGAAATACGCTTCTACTCTTTCGAAAGTATTATAATAATAATTTTAAACAATTTTCATAGACTTGCAAACTACACATTGGGAGATCACTAATTAAGCTGAACGTAAATAGACTCCGGAAACAAAAGAAGTTTTTGTATTTTCATTAGAGGGCGGTGAGAACGGCCCCCGGTAGCGTATACGTATAGGTATACCGAGAGAAAAAATTCTAATGATCATTCTTTTACCCATTCGAACCAGTTCCAATAGCTCCCTGGGATACGGCTCGAACATGGAAGACCAAAGAACCAGCGAATGTTTTCTACACCCACGCGGAGAGTTCACGTTCACCGTTCCTGGTCACGTTCTTGCACGATTTCTTCCCAAGATTATTCCAGCCCGGCGAGGTAATTCTCGGAGGAAAGAGCGCAGGGATGAAACCTGCACGAGAGAAAATAAAACACTCCCATAATTCTTCGTTCAGCGAAACCACCTTCGAACATTTGAGGAATGTATGAAGATACCAGACAATGAAATTAACATATATCCCATTCCAACAAACGAGGAACACAAATATAAATTTCTACCACTTCACAAATACTATAAAATTAACTATCAACACTATGACGACCGATGACGCCACAGTGACGTCATGTGAGTATCACATGATATTTTTCAGATATTCCAGGTTATTGAATTTATTTAGATACGTAGCAAACGCTATATTTTGTTATTATTTGTACCAATAAATAATTCACTATATCTAGTGAATATCTGTTCCGCAATAATTCAAATACCTGTGCTATCTTGACAATATTCGAGATAAGTCTAAAAATAAGAAAGATACTCGGAACTTAAACTGTATCATCGCTATATTAAAACCACAGTAAATTACTTATTTGTAAGCTTCAATAATTTTGGACAAAAATAGCCGACTAGTGCTAGAAGTTACTTGCAAAACTAGCCAGTCGTTATAGTGTCAATCTAACTATGCAAAAATACTCAATAAAATCCAAATAAAGAACAAAATACAGAGTGTTCAAGAAAAAAGGGTCTAAGACTTTAAGTGCTTATAGTACTCACCGAGTGGAATAAAAATAGCCAATCAACATAGATCATAAAATCAATCCTTTCGATGAAAGATATGTCATCCTTCTATTTCAATATAAAACTCACATCTGCGGATCATGGATCGACGTACATTTTTAAATATTCCTCCTGTACCTCGTATTGCTCATTGTCGTACAACCTTGAACTAATGTTCTCCTAAACCAATTCTTCTGTTTACTCGTATATGTAGAAGTTAATTTTACATCGAAAAAGCACCCTGTATACATTCCACGAGTATCTACAATGATCGTCTACTCAAAATGCATTCTTCGAAATCTCATTCTAAATATGTACCACAAACAGCAAACGTTCCCAAGGTTTCGTCTACCTCCCAATTAATTAATCCTCGGAAAGCATACAGTTTTGATGCCATCGGTTCGTTTGGACCCCCATGCATCATTCCATCTAGATACATTTTCGAACAAATCTCTCCATAAATTGGCTTTCATTGTATTTGAATTAAAACAAACAATTACTAACATAAATTAGTTATCGGAAGCTATTGACCTGGACAAAGTTCTCAAAAACTCTGGTAAAAATTAACCCAGTAATCATCCTAAGAGGGTTAAACACAGTCAAAATGGGGCCACGACGTCGAAGAAGAACAAGTCACACAGTGCAAG